GTATCTGCTACTGTCACTAATTTTGAACTGCTGACTAGAGGGAGGGAAAATGCCTGGCAGCACCCACTGCCAACTTTTTTTTCTTTCTGAGTTGCTGACTAGAAGAAAGACATCAGCCACCAACAACTTTTTTTTTTTCTAGGTAACATGGTCTGTACTAACTGATTAATGGGGCCATCAAATAATTGATTCGCAAGTACCTTTAATTTCCCACTAATGATTTTGTAGTTGGTTTGATGAGATTCTTTTTTAACATAATACAGTTAATAATTCCATATGAAATTTCAAATTTCCCAAATCAAAATTATGGAGTGACCATTTCTTCCAATATGAGTTTTATGTATCCATGCCAAAATTAAGTTGATTAATTGTATTATAATACTTGTTATTTTTTTGCAAACAATATTTCATGAGTACATATTAACATTATCTACTCAGGTAGGTTTAAAAATACACACCTGGTTAAAGTTATTAATGCTTATCTTGACACACATAATACAACCATGAATACGATATTCAACTTCAAGTCACCAAAAGACATTTTTGAAGTCTTGCAAGACAATAAAAGCACTATCAGAATTGGTTAAAAAGGATCTTGAAAAATTGAAAAGGGAGCATGAGAAAAACTTAGCAGAAAATGTTTAAACAGTACAGACGTTTTTAAGTATATTAAAGGAAAATAGAATGTTAAATTGGAAGTTGGTTACAAGATCGCTAGACATCTAATAATTTTTTTCTCATCACTTTTTTAACTAATTAAGATGGGTGTTACATTCCTCAACTAGACTTCTGTCTGTAAGATTATCTTATATTCTTGATCAAAGTTAAGATTAAACCAGAGCTGGTAAGGTTCAAGATTGAAAAAGTGAAGGAAGGCTCCTGGACCAGATAATCTGTATCCTAGGATAATAAAGTAAATGTAAACAGGACAGATTAATGTACCACTAGCAGTGGGGAGGTGGAAGACAAAAAATAAATGTTATACTTAATCTAGATTTGGGCAATGCAGGTTCTTTTGTGTTCTTGATCTTTCTGAATGGTTTAGATAGTGGCACATAAGAGACTTCTTAAGAAGAACGCAACTTTGAGGGAAGGAGATAGGCTATTAAACAGACTGAGACTTGGTTAGTTGGATGATAGAAAGCAGAAGATTATTATTGATGGAGTGAAGTTACAATGTATTAATGTTAAAAGTGGTGTGGTTTTGTTTGTTTGTAGTTAAGCACAAAGCAACACAAGGGGTTATCTGTGCTGTGCCCACCACAGGTGTCAAAACCTAGTTTCTAATATTATAAGTCTGCAGACTTGCTGCTGTGCCACTGAGGGGTGGTGTGGTTCTGAGATGGATCCATTGTTATTTCTAATTTCCATTAAAAAACAATGACAATGGAATAACTACTAAAGTGGTTAAGTTTGTAGATGATATTAAAATAATGAGTATTTTACTGAAGATGCTTTAGTTTTGCAGAGATTTTGGCTACTTGATGAGCTAACATCTGGCAAATGCCTTTTAATTTTAAGTAAAGTTATCCATATTGGGTATTAAAACAATAACTACTCTTGTAGCCTTGCTGGGGAAATTCAAGGTGAAGTTTATGAATAAAAAGATCTGGACATAGCTATTACAAAATCTTTAAAGTCTTCTAATCAATGAACAGTTGTACTAATAAGGTCATATAGATATAAAGATTGAGTCCAAGTCAAAGAAAGTCATAAGTTCACTCTAAAATTGGCACTTGGCAGACACCATGTGGAATACTGTGTTCAATTTTGGTTACCTAATTAAAAGAGTATTGAGCTTTTGGAGAGAGTCTAGAGAACAGTAGAGAATTACCAGAATAATTCCAGATTTGGAGCAGTTATTGCATCAGGGTAGAATGACATTTCTTGATAGGTCTTGCTGGAGAAAAGGTCTTGGTAGGATATTATTGAGGTTTTTAAGATTATTAAAGGTTTGGAATCCACAATTCCAGAGCATGTTTTCATAAGAAACATCTGCAGGCAGTACAACTAGAGGACAGTGGTTAACAATATGGAAAACTCAGACAAGACTCCAGTTAAGGCAGTTTTTGTTTCTAATATGGTGGTCAGCATATAAAATAGTTTGCCTTTAGCTGTGGTAGAAGCTGCAACATTGAAGGAGGTTAAAAAAAAAAAGAGATTGGAAGAGCATTTTACAGCTCAGAACTAGATATAAAAATAAGCTTCTATATGTAATTCATATTAGATGGGTAGTAGAAAATGGGATAGCTTAGATGGGCTTAATGGCCACTTGTTATTAGAGATGTAACAATAAATCGAAATATAATGTATCACTAAAGTTTATAAAATGATACAATACACAATACATAGTTTCTGTATTTGATACAATAATAAACATGCAAAAGTATTTTTTAATTTTTTATCTGCCACAGATATTCATCTGCTCCTAAAAAGGTTTAGTTTCATGATCCTGTGAATGTACATAAATTACATGTAGTATATTTTACATCTAACTTAAAAACAAAAGTGACCTATTGGTCCATCTATGCTATTCAATTCACTAATAAATTGTGAATGTGCTTAAGCCTTTCAAAACAATCACTAGTGTTGTATGATGTCATCAGTATTGCTGGTAATCCATTGAAACAAATGTGCAAAGTGTAAAGAATACTATTAAGACTGATACGAGGTATTCAGACAAAGAAAACAGATTTTCTTTTAAAATGTTCTGCACTAGATCCTTGGCCTATATCTTTATCCCATCTTGAGGAACCCAGTCAGCAAAAGCCTTTTTATGCATACTTAATGTTAGCTGTAAGTAAAATAGCAGGACAACATATATCTTTTTAAACACTTTGATTTTCAGTTTTTTCATAATACATAAGAGTATATAAATTGTAATAAAATTTCTAAGATTATAGTATATATATATATATATATATATATATAACACACACACACTACTATACTGTCTCGTACCGTACTACTTCCGTCCGTTCGGTACCGTACAGACGAAGGAAAGAAACGTAACACTACGACACCCTAACCTTAAACGTTTTAACTTTTTT